TTTTAGCATTTTTGATAAAATAAGTAGAACTGGTAACCAAAGGTTTTTATCTTATTCCTACTTAATTACACTTTTTTAATATTTAAAACAATAATTATTAATAAAGCGAGTGAAAAAATTAACTGAACAAAATCAGTGACAAAAACTTTTAGCAGTTTTGATATATACGAATATTGATAAATACCGACGCAGACCCTGACTGACGCTAAATTTTACGAGAAACTCTTTTCATGCATTTCTTACATCCAGCGTCAACTTTGTTCACGTGACATATTTGGACGCTAAAAATGAGCGTCGAGCGTCAGCGTGAAAAGGCACCTTTACTGTTACTTGTTTTCCATTGTATATCTGTGTGTTAAACATTCTATCCTAACATTATCCTAATATGAAATATTTTATCTTAATATTACAAAATTACACTTCATATTACAAAAATTTACAAATTTTAGATTACAAATAATCTAATGCTATTATCTAATGCTTAGTTTACACCGATCGTTTGGTACGTGTACCAAGTAATAAATCTGCTTCTTCAATTGGTTTAAATTGTTTAAGGTGAAATCTACACCAAACAAGGAATCATATTTAGTATTTGGTACGCGTACCAAATGATCGGTGTAAACGTAGTCATTTAGATTTTATATAATCGCAAAAATTATTATTACTGTGCAGATATAACACTGAAATTGAAAATGGATCGGAAACGTCAAAGAAAAGATATGTTATATATATCTAAACGACAATTTAGAAGATTAATTGCACAAGAGACAAACATTATTTGTAATAGTCTCTTATATGGAACATCGCATGATAATATGAATAATAAATGTGCAACAATCATTGATAATTGTCCAGTGAATTCTAAAATAATACATATCGAACATAATACGGAACATAATGAACATAACGACAAATATTTTCAAAATGAAAATGATACGGTCAGACAATCTGAAAACAAGTCGGATTCGCAAAAATGTCCTGCTACCACATCTTCTAATGAATCCAGTGATCTGGAATTTGAAAATAAAAATATAACAGACTTTGATTTTCAAGATGATCTAGTTCTGTGGGCTGTACAGCACCAAATCACACATAATGCTTTAACGGCACTGCTACACAGATTAAAGAAACATTCTTGTTTTTCAACATTACCATTGGATGCACGTTCGCTTTTAAAAACACCAAAACAACAAGAATTTCGTACGGTAGTACCGGGATCTTATTATCATTTCGGATTAATAGACCCTGTAAAGAAAATATTAATGTCCATAAAGGATAATGTTAATTGCATTCAAATAGCTGTAAATATAGATGGACTGCCATTATCTAAATCATCTCAGCAACAATTTTGGCCTATATTAGGCTCGGTTCTTCCGTATAATAACGTTTCGTATGATTCTGTTTTTATTATTGGAATTTATCACGGCAATGAAAAACCAGCAGATGCCAATAATTTTGTACGAGATTTTGTAAACGAGGCAAAAGAAATGTGCGCAAAGGGAATCGACGTCAATGGTCGAAACATTCAATGTAGAATTGGAGCATTAATTTGCGATACACCGGCCAAAGCATTTGTCTTATGTGTTAAAGGGCATTCCGGATATTCAAGCTGTACTAAATGTACAATAGAAGGAGAATATATTGCAAATCGAATTTGTTTTCCGCAGATAGATGCACCGCTTAGATCTGATGAAGATTTTGTACAACGGAAAGATGATGATTATCATAGGTCAGGTACAATATGCAGCTTGTTGAGTATATCTCATTTTAAACCTGTTACAAATGTTCCATTGGATTACATGCATGTGGTTTGTCTGGGAATTGTGCGAAAAAAATTGTACCTATTGCTTAATGGCGAGCTGCATTATCGGCTATCACACAGAGTAGTCGATGAAATTTCAACACGTCTAACCTATTTGAGGTGTTACATTCCTGTAGAATTTGCCAGAAAACCACGGAAATTAGATTGTGTCAAATTATGGAAGGCTACGGAATATAGATTATTATTACTGTACACCGGTCCCTTGACTTTTAAGTCTATATTGGAAAGAAATGTATACGTGAATTTCATTACATTACACGTAATTATAAGGATCTTGTCTTCAAAAGACCTACATGACTATTTAGCGTATGCACAAAAACTGACTTATTTCTATATTAAAACATTTATAAAACTGTATGGAATGGGACATGTATCACACAACATTCACAGTCTTATTCATCTTGTGAATGATGTCAAAAGATTTGGACCTCTCGACAACTTCAGTGCATTTAAGTTTGAAAACTACATGCAAACATTGAAGAAATATATAAGAAAAGCTGATAAACCTTTACAACAGGTTGTGCGAAGATACAGGGAACAAGAAACAAACCTATACTGTACATCAACGGTATCACATTCTATAGTGAAAGATCCAAAGTTGACGTCATTGCATTGGAATGGTCCACTTATAGTGAATTGTCACAATCCACAATATAACATTATTCAATACAATGGACTTACATTTAAAGCTGGAACACTTGCAGATAGTTGCTGCGGCTTAAGTTGTGGTGCAATTGTTAGCATTAAAAATATCGCGTTCCGTTCAAATAGTCCCGTCATTATTGGTCATGAGTTTTTGGAAAAAAGGAACTGTATAATGTTCCTTGTCCGTCCTCATTGCTTGGGATTTACGTTGTACATTCATACTCAGATTTGAAAGTTTGGTCACTGAAAAACATTACTAGGAAATATGTACAATTGCCATATCGAAATGATAAATACGCTATTTTTCCTTTGATACATGGCAAAATATAAATGTTTGATCATTTTCACACAGAATGGTCCATCAACGATATATTATAGTCTTATTTGAAGATGGCCTTCAAGTAATTCCTAAAAATTGGATTAACCAAGAATCTAACACAGCCAAGTGGCCAAATTTTACAACTAACAAGCGATATGATCAAGCCGTAAGATTAATGGAAGAACCACAGCCTACGTGGACGGACCACTCTATTTTAAAAATATATGGGAGATATGGTAAGAATTGTATAATAAAGTATGATATTTCATTATTTATATTCCATTCTTATGTTACATTTTTTTGTGATATTTTTTGTGTTATTTCTTTTGCATTATTAATTTTCTACATGTAGCATATGTATTGCAAAGGAAAAGTAATAACTTTTTTTACAATGTTATTTTTCAGACAATTATGCAAGAAGCAAGAAAAAAGCTAAAAAAAGCTGAAGAATTATCAGAACTAGAATCTTGTCCTGAACAAGAAGAATTTTTGAAAAAATCTAGAAAACTTAGAACTGCTAAAATAATCAATAGTTCCAGCAGTAACGATAAAAATGAAGAGACAGAAATGGCAATATCTGTGGACCTTCCAAAAGTTCCAAATATTTTAAATCCTCCGTTTAAGAGTTGCAATACTGATTTATTAAAAACGAAATCATCTCAAGCACAAAAAGGTAAAAATACAAAAAATAATAATAAATATAGACAATAAAAAAGATAAAATACTTTAATAATAAAAAATATTAATTACAGATTTCAAATATGTTAGAAGTAAAGAAAAAAGGACCACGACAGACACACAAATTGGCCCCATTGCATATCAACAAAAAAAAGGTAATTTTTAGACTGAGTATAATTTTTATTAAATTACATTTATACAAAAACAATGCATGTATTTATAAAGTATTTTCTGTGCACTATACGCGCGTTTATATGTTTCGAAAAATGTGATACATTTAGTTTTTCAATTGTTTATAATTTAAAATTTTATTATTTATCATATTTATATATATTGATATATGTATATTTGTTAACATTATATTGGAATAATAATGATAACATTGCTTTATTACTTTCAGATATGCAAAACACTAAAGATTTCTTTAATGAATTACTCCAAAATAATAACATTTATGAGACTGTTGTGCCTGGAAATTGTGAAAGTTAGTATGCAAGTAAATTCTATTTTTCTATTGTTTTTATTGTTTATTATCTTTGAATTATGCGTAAATAGTTATCATTTTTGCCTAGTAACATGCAAAATAAATTGTGCAATTCTTTTGTTACTTATAAATGCTATATTAAAATAATAACAATAAAATTTATTTATTACTTTCAGATTTACAATCCACTGAAAATATTATCGCCGAACTTCTCATCGATGCGAATAATGAGAGCGTTACAGTTCCAATAACCGAAACACCAATAAAAGAAAACACGAATCGAACTTTGATGCTTGAACAAGGTCAGTATGCACGTAAATTGAATTATTTTTCATTACTTATATATTTTACAATTAATCATTTGTTCAAAAACAATTTTAATTTTCTTCTTTCTATATTTTTAATGTCATAAATTTTTCAAAATATATCTTATTTTAGTCTGGTTATATTTAGTTTTATCTTAGTCTGGTATAGATTACAAAATTTATATTGTACATTTTGAATTAAGTAACAATTATTTGAAATATCTTACAAAACATATTACAATATATATGTATAAATTTGACAATTTTATAGAAATAGTAATAATGTAACATTGTTCTCTTACTTTTAGATGCACCACGCGCCTTAGAGCATGACCCCGAAATGAGACAGAAGGGCGACCCTTCACAAATATTCAATGAAAATTATAATTTCATACAAGGTTAGTTGTAAATAATGTTTATTTTTATTAATTATTAATGATATTTATATGCAAAACTTTTATGTACAATATTTTATTCAGAATCTATTCTTAAACAATTTTGTTCGACAATTTTAATAATTTTTGTAACATTTTTTAGACATTAATATTTATAATATTTGTAAATATTTGTAAATATTTGTAAAAATTTAATATTTTTTGTATGTGTGTAATTATATAAATATTTTGATTATCTTTTTTAGATTCTAAAGAATTTCAAAGATTCGTTATTCGAAAACTTTTAAAAATTGAAATTAAAACGAATTGCATTGAGAGATGCATAAAACTTATTGCTAACACGCCAAACAATATGGCACAACCAGAACAGAATGTTATGGATGTATTTGAAGATCTTCCATTAAAGACTAAAAATGATCTTGATATAATGGAAGACAGATTGGGCAGAAATGCTATTTATCGCAGTGAAATGGTAAGTCCAATATTTATTAATATTACCAAGCATTTTTAAAAAAAGGGTTACATTTTGGAATGAAATAGAGAACTTATGTTTGGGCGGGGGGGGGGGAGACAGAGAGAGAATTGCAATAAATTGTTTGTAAAAGATTTTTACGTTTTACTTTAAATAATAAATTTGAATGATAAATATTTGGAATATAATTAATATTTTAAAATAATTGTAGGTTAAACAATTAACTCGTTTAACTTGCAAAGATTTGAGATCTTCATGCTTGAGTGTTATCAAACAAACATTATCAAATGAAGTGGCAAATCATTATAGCTGGTACGGTGCTAAAAAGAAAGAAAATTTTTCCAAATTGCATCTATGTAAAGTAATTATGTGTAAGTAAAATATTGAAAAATTATCCTTTTTTATATTTTGATTACACATTACAATTGTTTACATATTTTATTTATTACACATTACGTATTCGTTAATAAATATTTCTCCTGATTTATAAGAAATAAATTAAAATGAAGTAATATAGGAAAAATGCTTTTTTTGCAGCTGTAATTCGAAAATCGTATCCCAATGCAACAGATGCAGAAATTTCTGCTCCATTGAAGGTATGGTTTGCCCACGCAAAGGAACGCCTAACAAGAGAAACAGAAAATAACGATTAAATATCACATCTATATTTTTTTTTTGTAAAAATCCTGAAGCAAAGTGGAAATCGCCGATTAATTTTTTTTTTTATTTTATGATGCTGAAACAAAAAGGAATAATATTTTTGTTTGATTTCATTTGATTCTCTCTTATTATCTGAAAGGATTATCTCTTTAATTATCTGAAGGATTTTAGAGCATGCAATTTACATATTGTAACCCTGACAGCACAGCATATCCAAAAGACGTCCAGAGGATATCTCGAAGACGTTTTTAGGACGACAGGACGTCCTCTGGGCATCCTTTGGATGTATTTTGGACATGTGTGCTGTCTGGGAAAGTAATCTCCTTAGAAATAATCTCCTTAAAAAGTTCTTATCGCGATCCTGGCATCCGAGATAAAGAATTATATATGTAACATATAAAAGCTTATATATGTAATATATAAAATTAAAATAAAATAAAAATTTATAAAATTTAAACAGCATAAGTTAACTTAACCTAACCTAACCTAACCTAAACCTAAATCTAAACCTAATCCTAATTAGTAAAATATACTACAGACATACTGTACATACATTGGAGGCATGCTATACATATACTATACATATAGTACAGATTTTCTTAGATATACTGTAGACATTCTGTGAATATACTGGGTAGTTACAAATAGTATGCCGTAGATGATTTCGGTATATTACTAGAAGCTTCCAGCGAAGCTCTATGGGATTTGATAACGCGGACATAGGAGCATTCTGAGTATATACTCAGTACATCTCCGACGTATCTCAAATATTCTAAGAATATACGCAATATACTTGTGCGATATCCTACAAATATTCTCAGAATCTACATGTGCTATTAGGGTATTCGCCAGATTTAGCCCCCAGTGACTTTTTTCTCTTTCCAAACATGAAGAAATGGCTCGCTGGAAAAAGATTTGGCTCACACAAATATCGAAGTAATCGATGAAACTAACGCTTATTTTGAAGGTTTAGAGAAATCATATTATGCAGACGGTATAAAAAAGTTAGAATATCGTTGGAATAAGTGTATTGAGTTGAAAGGGGTGTAAGAATCTCTTATGATAACACCGATGTCGGTAAACGATATCGAATCAATTAGTCCTCATATATATCATTGGGGGCACTAATCGACATTTCCAAAGATGTGCAAATCGCATCTGCGGCTCCGGAAACTAGAATATTCGAGAAAGCTCGAGAACAGTCGAAGACAGAAAGTATATAAACGAGTGCAAAGAGGCCACAAGGCTTTTTCGGCTCTTGTTAGTAGAGAGAAAAGTATTGAGATATAAGTGCGAGTGTTTCACAGCGTAAAGGACTTCGCTAAGGGAAAGCTCCGTTGATCTCAGAGGCAATAAAGGACTTTTGCCAATCAATTGTTAACTAATTGGTCAATTTTCCAAGAAGGACTTTGGAAAAGGGCTAGCCAGCTACGAGTTAAAAGAAATACATATATTTTTACAAAAGATAAGTTTAGTGGATAAGACATTTATCATATCTGTACGAAATTGGATTCATAACGGACATTCACATATTATTCATCATTAAATATATTAATTGTTAATTGTTAACTAATCATTTAATTGAATTTCCTGACAAACAATATAAGAACAATCTTACAGGGGACTATGTTAAAAAATTATAAAAAATTTTGCCGAAAATCATATGTTTTCTGTGTCAGGCCGAAAACTTTTCAAACTATCCTCGTATATATATATTAATAATAATTTACCTGTCATAGTGAGAAAAATATTTCTATAATTATAAAATATTATTATCATTATTCTTTGTTGCAACAGATTGAGGTATTTTGTAACCTGATTGATCATTCAATAGTTGTTCATTTATCTGCTGCCAAAAACATTGTTATCCATTGTTAGACAGAACTATCTACACAAAATTTAAATTATAATTAAAGTAATAATTTGTTCTTTGTTCGCATCCACTTCTTTTGTACCTAAAAAATTATTATTTTTCTATAATTATTTAAAGCTATAACAGGTAACGTTTTAAGAGTTTAACGTGAATATTGCAATTTTAGAGCTACCAATGTCATAAAAGTTGTGTGATTTATATCCGATATGTAGAGCGCAATGCATGCTCGTGCATTCTATTACAAGAAGGAAAGTTATATGAGAACCAATAATCACTCATCATACACATGCGTGCGCGCTACATTCTTGAATTCTTTCTGTTCAATGTCATAAAGCAAGCAGAAAATCGCTTCGATACCACTTGTTCATCTTGATAAAAATTAAACTTTTTATTTTTTTATTTTTTAGGAGATCGTGATAAATATTTGTATAATATAATTAAATATAAAACATAATAACAATTATTATCACATGCCATATGTATCTGTGTGAATATACAATCAACTTCAAATTAAATTTAAATAAATACATCAATTTTACATGTGTCATTTGCAAATATATGTGCAAACCTATGTGCGAAAATCTCAATTTATCACGCAAACAATAACATTAAATTCGTAACAAATTCGAGAAATTTTTAAAATAAGAGTAACATTAAAATAATAAAATAATACAATCTCCTACTCATAATATTTTAGATACAACATTAATTCCATAGTTGAGAAATTTGTAAATAAGAATAACATTAAAATGATAAAATGATACAATCTGCTACATGCTTGAATTATTTTAAAGATAACATTAAATTCGTAAACGAGAAATTTTTAAATAAGCTTAAAATTAAAATTACAAAATGATAAAATTTCTTACATGCATATAATACTTTAAGACAACATTATTCATGAGACCAAGGAATTTTTAAATATAATATAATATATATGATAAGTATAATATTAAAATAATAAAATGACACAATCTCCTACATGTTTGTAATACTTCAGAGTATTGATACATAATTGATACATTATTTACTAAAGATTCAAGTTTAAACAAAACATATGCACATATAATATATAATCTGTTAAAATAATTAACATATCTCCACGGTGGTATTCGTACTTTTCTCTTCTCTTCGTATTTAAAAATTTTTGTATGCTTTTTTCTACATGTTTACGAATATCAAAAAATTTAATGTAACAATATTTATTTTCACAAGACATACATTTGTTCAAATATTCGGTAATTTTATACAAAATTATCACAGTCGCTCTTTAGTTATGATCTTTAATAACATAGACATTACGTTTGTTTCTTGCGCATTTACCAATATATCCAAATTTTTATTTTTTACATGATTATTCAAAATCATTTCATTTTATAAAGTCATATAAAATGTAGACGTCCGAACTCTCCAAAAATTATTTACACAAGCATTGTAAAAAGGAACTAAAGGAATATACATTTCGTACATGGATTTGAAAATACTATCTTCTTATGCACAAAAAAGCAATACTTCTATGCCCAACTGCGAAATACGTAATCCTCCAATTCTTTCTTAATATGATCGTGTTAGTGATTTGCTAAGGATTTTGGTGTCTACCTTTTTCTTGAAAATACTGCACAAAAAAGTAATATTTTTGTCTAATTGCAAAATATACAATCAAACAGTTCCTTCTTCAAATATTGAGTGATGTAGACATTGTATCTGTTTTAAGCCACAGAATGCGATTCGATAAAATTTACATACACAATTGTAACAGATATTTAAAACAGGTATTGATTATCTAATTTTTATTATTCTTATTATATATGTACTAAATAATGTCAAAGATTCATTACTATAAAAAAAATTTGTTATATTCATGAAATCGATTTAGTTTGTATAAATGTACAAACACATACTTGATTTTAAGAAGCGTAATTTAAAGAATATTATGTTTCGAAATAATAACTATAATTTATAATTTTATAAATTTAAACTATTGTGTTAAATTATAAATTTATAAATATATATATATATTTACATTTACGAATTGTATACATTTGCATAATTGTATATATAAACACAAAACCGATATGCGACAAATAAATAAAAATACACTAATATTTTCATATATTTCAAATCATTTAGTTAAAGTCAAGATTGCCGTTATTGCTGAGTGATGAGACGCTGCTTAAAAATGTTGCCACCATCATTTCTAATTGTCAAATTCTATGTAAATAAATCTATATAAACATTTATAATATATCAGAAACAAATATTAAGTATTTGAATTTTGTTGTTTTTATCATGCAGTGAGTATTTACATCACTCAAAGAATAAACTGTAATGATAAATATAATATAATAACAATAATAATTAATAAAATATGATTAAAACTCACGTTTCTTTTTTAGCTTGCGTGGCTTGTCGACCGAGGGGGTAACCACTTAAGAGGATGCTGGAGTGACGGGCAAACTCCGACGCGAAAGCGCCATCATTTCGATGGTACTAAAAATGGAAATGACATTATCGGCGTAGCCAGTGATGCAAACTCGAGCCGGCCAGCACCAGGGCTCCGTGGTAGGGGAAGCATGCACACAAGCGAGAATCGTTACGTCACATGTACGTGTGCGCACGTCTTTAGCTCTCTCTTTTCTAAACTGTCAGCTGACGTTAGATCGCCTCTGACAATATTTATTAAAAATTGTTAGCTAACGTTAGATCGTCTCTGGCTTTTGTAATTCTAAATTGCCAGTCCATGAGAAAACCGCCTCTGGCTTGTCTTATTTTATATTGCCAGTCTACGAGAAAACCGCCTCTGGCTTGTCTTATTCTATATTGCCAGTCCACGAGAAAACCGCCTCTGGCTTGAAGAGAAGAATAAGAATTCTCTAATGCCAGTCCACGAGAAAACTGCCTCTGGCTTGTTTTATTTTATATTGCCAGTCCACGAGAAAACCGCCTCTGGCTTGTCTTATTCTGTATTGCCAGTTCACGAGAAAACCGCCTCTGGCTTGTCTTATTTTATATTGCCAGTCCACGAGAAAATCGCCTCTGGCTTGTCTTATTCTGTATTGCCAGTCCACGAGAAAACCGCCTCTGGCTTGAAGAGAAGAATAAGAATTCTCTAATGCCAGTCCACGAGAAAACCGCCTCTGGCTTGTCTTATTTTATATTGCCAGTCCACGAGAAAACCGTTTCTGGCTGTCTTATTCTGTATTGCCAGTCCACGAGAAAACCGCCTCTGGCTTGAAGAGAAGAATAAGAATTTTCTAA